TTGGGGTTCAGCTCAATGGTTTTTGCTTTTTCCTTTGCTTTGGTCACAGTATGGGTGCTAGGGATCTTTGTCAAGCACCACAACTCTCCCATTGTCATAGCAAATAACCGGAACCTTAGCTACGTGCTCCTCATCTCCCTCCTGCTCTGCTTCCTTTGTCCTTTGATCTTCATCGGCCAACCTGATAAAATGATGTGTCTTCTCAGACAAATGGCTTTTGGCAATGTCTTCTCAGTGGCTGTGTCTTGCGTGTTGGCAAAAACCATCATTGTGGTTCTCGCATTCATGGCTACCAAACCAGGAAGCGGGATGAGGAAATGGCTCAGGAAAAGACTGACCAACTCTATTGTTCTTGTGTGTTCCCTTATTCAAGCAGGCATGTGTAGTGTGTGGCTGGCAACCTCTCCTCCATTCCCAGATGTCGATATGGGGTCAGAGAGGAAAGAAATTGTCCTGGAATGTAATGAGGGCTCCGTGGTTATGTTTTACTGTGTCTTGGGTTACATGGGCTTCCTGGCCCTTGTCAGCTTTACTGTGGCTTTCCTAGCCAGGAATTTACCTGGCAGTTTTAATGAAGCCAAATTCATCACTTTCAGCATGTTGGTGTTCTGTGGTGTTTGGTTGTCCTTTGTGCCAACCTATCTGAGCACCAAGGGGAAATACATGGTCGTTGTAGAAATTTTTTCTATCCTAGCTTCTAGTGCAGGACTGCTGGGTTGCATCTTCTTCCCTAAATGTTACATTATTATTCTGAGGCCTGCAGTTAACAAAAGAGATCTGATAATAAGAAGATAGAAAAGCCTTACATTTGAAAAGGCTTTCCTATGCTTCTTAAATTCTCATTTCTATGTGACTTTTCTAGATAATGGAAAGATTGAATGATAACAGCATTAAATTAAGGGAATCCATTTCTCCCCCACTGTGGCTGAAATTACATAAGAGTGGTCAGGTCTCCAAGGGCTGTGGTAAAAGAGGTACTCTCTGTGTTCCTTGAGTGGCCAGGAGTTTGGTTTTATGTGAAAAGAACCACTCTGAGAAAAGTAAACAATACATATGCGGATTCACACTGAAGGCCATGCTGAAGCTAACTTCAGATAAGACAGAGGTGGCACTGGTGGGCAAGTCTGATGTTCTAGATTGAAATGTAATGCCTGTTTTTCGTGGGATGAGTCTCTCTCTCTCAGATGTGGAAAAGAGTTTAGGAGTTTTGCTGGTTCCTCCTATTTGAAAAGCCGTATATAGGCTGCAGTCACACATACTAAATAATCCACTTTCAATGCACTTTCCAACTGGATTTTTACTGTGTGAACTAGCAAAACCCAGTTGGAAAGTGCATTGAAAGCGGATTATTTAGTGTGTGTGACTGCAGCCATAGTTGTCAAAGATGCTTTTTCCCAATTTACATCTGGAATAGGAATGAAATTCACTTTTGGACTCATCTTACCTAGCCTCTTTAATCCATGTTTAATAACGTACTGTAAGATGATTTACATAGTGCTGCTCTTGAAGTCAACACAGAAACTACAATTGGTCTAAAATAATAGAATCATGGAATCATAGAGCTGGAAGGGACCTCCAGGGTCATCTAGTCCAACGCCCTGCACAATGCAGGAAATTCATAAATACCACCCCCACACCCCCAGTGACCCCTGTTCCATGCCCAAAAGATGACAAAAAACCCCAGGATCTCCAGCCAAACTGGCCTGGAGAAAAATTGTTTTCTGACCCCAAAGTGTGGATCAGCATTTCCCTGGGCATGTACAAAAAGAAATGACAGAGGCTAACTTCCCCACCTGCATCTCCTGAGCCAGTAGAGTATAGAAGAAGAAGAGAGTGCTTGGTGGCTCCGGAGAGATGAAGGAGCACTTGCTTGGCTGCTCAGCAATGCTTAGCATTAGTTCCTGGAGCAGAGTCCTTGCAGGACCAGGACTGACAGTCTGATAGGGAACCAGTAAAAGATTCCTGCATGTAGGAAAGTGAACGTGACTGCAAGAAGCAACACCAGGTCCTCAGGGGCTGGATTAGCAAAAGATGCAGGTAAAAGGAACACACTGAGTAAGATTTGGTGCAGAAGCAACCTTACTTGCCACCCCACTGTGCACTGACCTGTTTAACAAAGAGAGCTCTACCCTGACCCTGCTGTCTTTTACCATGTCTCTGGTAATTTGTGCTTGCTCCCGAAGCCTGGGACCCAGACCCTTGTATCTTGCACCTGTTCTGAAGCCTTGGAACTGGACCCCTGACCCCTGGATTCTCCTACCCTGAAACTTGGACTGGACTGGGATGAAATACCCTTCTCCCATATAAGTTAAGAGATGTGCAGTTTAAAAGTGACTGTGGCCCCGGTCACACGGATCATTTGCCCCGCTGAAGGCATAGGATTTTCCGGGCGCGATCATACCACAACATCTGGGAAGCGCAGTGATTCCGCAGTGAACCCGTGGCTTCCTGCCGAAGATGGGGCTTAAAAAACTAGTACTTACGAGGTACTAGTTTCCGGAAACCGTGGGCCAAGGGCGGGCGTCTGATCGCGTTTCCGGTGGAATTATGTGGCATCCGGCGCTCACCGATGTTCATTGCAAACAAAGGTTTTTTTTCCTCCCAAGTCTCCAAAAGCACCCAACAGCGCATGCGCACAAAGAGCGATCACTAGTGTGATCGCGCGGCGCGGCTTCTTTGAGTTTGAGAGAGGGCCACGGGAGGCTGCGATGGGGATGAGTGGCAGAGGCCAGGCTGAGAGCGGGCCGCGTGTCCCAGGGAGGGAGGGAGGGAGGGAGGGCTGCTGGTGGGGAGGGGGGATCTGGTGGGTTAATCTCCCCCTCCCCTCCTTGCAAGCGGAACATGGACCCCGCCTGAAGTGGGCCGCGCGAGACCCTCCCAGAGGCCACGGCTCTTTCTTTTACCTTTCTCATCAGCTCGGCTGCTCTTGGTGGAGGTGCAGGATACTCGTGTGATCAGCATCTCCCCCCTGACCATGGGACCTCGACCGGGACGTGTGATCGGGCAGCCGCACGTTATTTTCCTCTGGGGCAAACAGCCACGCTTCCCCCCCACATTTTCCGGCCTGTGTGGCCGGGGCCTGTGTTTTTCTTTTGTGGGCTGAAATGGGAGAAGAAGAGCAACTCACATTCCCAAGGCAAGAGTCAGATCACAACATACATATGTAAATGTATCTATACAGTTGGAAGTATCCTCCTCTCTTCCCAGTCATCTGCCACAGAGAAGGGTTGACTTGCTAGACAGACAGGAAAAGAAAGGGAAGTTCTCAAGCACACTTTGGGGTTTCCTCTCAGCAATACTCTGGGACTCGAGGGGATAAGATCCTGGGTGGATAGAGAGGTGTTTTTTTTTTAAAGCTCTGGAGGAGAAGAGAGGGGGCTTTTGTTGCTGGATCCTCAAAAAGGGAAGACCTCAGTCCAGGCTGCTCTCTATGGAAGCCATCTCTTGTTGACCATGTGGTCTCCCTGGAGGATGCTTGGATCCCCCAGGTAATGGAACAAGGAGAGGACAAACTTGCAACTTTCTAAGAGTATCTGTGCCTGCTCTATTTTTCCATCAGTTAGGGCATATTTATATCAGGGACAGAAGGATTGTGTTTCTTACCAATTTATTTTGTTCTTCTGTTTGATTTATCTAGAGGTGTGCTTAAGTATGCTTGTAAATAGTTTATTTTCAATAAAATATTTTTGATTTGATATGACTAACAATGAGGGCACAGTTAATATATATTTTTGATTTTGGAGGCTGGTCCCTAGTCTCTGTACCACCAAGATTTGCCTACTGTCTTCCACATGCTATTGCAAGATGGGTCCCCAGGTTGGAAGGAAAGCAGTCTGTGTGCATGTGGCTATTTCTCCAGGGGAACCCCAAAATTGTAATTGATCACTGTGGTAACCAGTCCCTGGGTAGCAGGAGACACCAAGGCCATGCCTAAGAACCAGGAAGAAGAACTGGGATTCCTGTTCATCCCAATCAGAGAGCTCTAAAACAAGCAAGTGGTGGCAATGAGTACTTTCATGGAAGGAAGTAGCCCCTATATAGACATTGGCAACACCAAATATGGGTGAGCAGAGCAGGGAATGCAAGGCAAAGCGAACCTGTTCCTCCACATGGACATTTGGATATGTGACTTTGGACCAGTTTGTAGATCTTGCTCCTGTGTATTTCTGTACTTGTTGTCATTATATTTGTGTATCCTGGAAACCCTGGATAGACCAACAGCACCAGGCTTAGCCCTGAACATGACAAGTAGAGTATCATTCAATTGGACCTTAACTTCTTTTTTTTTAAGCCCCCAGAGGGGATTTTTTTATTATTGATTTTTTAAACACTACAAAAACTAGAACAGAAAAAAGGGAAAGGGAAAGCTACATATAAGGGAGAAAGTAAAGAACCCACTACTAACTAAAAACACAAGAGAGGAGATCTCCAACTAGCTTTTTATTTCATTCAGACTTTTCATCTTTGTACTTCTTATGAACTGCGTCAATCTTTTAACCCTTTTAACCATCCCCAGTTACATTTAATTGCCCAATAACAGTGCCCCCCATCATCCCCTAGAACCAAAGTTCTCAAAGGCACAATTCAGAGTCCTTCAGCCTTTACTTCTTCTTCTCTCTCTTCCGCAGTTTGTAGGAACTATTCGGAGCTGCTGCGTCCTCTTCTTTTTTCTCGTCCTCTGGCCTTCCCAGCTGCTCCTTTAGAAACTCTTGAGCTTTAAGAACAGAGTCAATCTTGACCTTCTTCTCCTTGATCTTGAATATTACTCCTTCTGGAAACAGCCATTTATATCCAATTGAGTTTGTTTGGAGGAAAAACACAAGTTCTTTGTATTCCTCAACTTTTCATCCCCTGCCCTATTCCTAACTCAGTTGTGTCTGTCCAATAAAATCAACTTTTCTGTTTGAGCTTCATTTTGTGTCAAGTGCCATTTCCAAAGGGATTTATAAGAGGGTTCCTGCTTAGCTACAATAAATCTCTGGCCTGGGCAAAAACCAAATAAGTTCTCTATCATAGAGTGTGACACACATAAAGTTATCTCTCCTTATTTATATTTGTCATTTGGAGTGGCAAGATTCGATGTGTGGCAAAATCAGTTCACCCGTTCATCTGCCACTCAAAAACAAGTCCCTGGCCACTAGCTGCGTTCCCTTTGTCCTGCCCACAGAAGGGGCTTGTTGCCCCTTGTAAGCCGCCCTGAGCCCACTCGCGGGGAGGGCGGGGTAAAAATGCCTAAATAAATAAATATAAATAAATAAGTGGTGCCAAGCCTCTCGGCTTTAGTGTCCTGGTAGCTGATGGTGAGGCCGAATGCTCCAGTGGGTGGAGGGTCCTGAGGCCGAGGTCCATCATGGCGGTGCCGTGGTGGCCAGGAGGTAGTGGCAGTGTGGCCTTCCTCGGCCTGCAGAAATGAGAAGGGATCATGGTGGCAGCAGAGGCTTGATCGGGCCGCAGGCCCGAGAAGGACTCCTTGCTTGCTGATGCTCCAGCAACTGGTATGCCAGTTGGTGGGAGCCAGGGAGCCGTGGTGGCCAGGAGGCGCAGCAACTTATTTGCCCTTCAGGCCTAAGAGCGGATCATGGTGACGCCATGCCATGCCACCTTCCTCGTGCCCCAGGCCACGGCAGCACTCCCATGCTCTCCGCCACTCCAGAACCGCTGGGAGGCCTCTGGGAGGGGTGGGTGAAATGGCCCATGTTCTTCCCCGGTGCACCGCCTGCAAGAGCCGGGTGCAAGAGCCGGGTGCCACTGCAGGAGCCGGGTGGCGTGCGGCCTCTCCCTCCTCAGTGTGCTGC